ATGATAGAATTCTGCAAAACCAATAATGTGTTCATTTCAAATGCCTTCTTTAGACAACATAAGAGATGATTATACACATGGACCTCACAAGATGGAATACACAGAAATCAAATTGGCTACATCTGTGGAGAAAGACTGTGGAAAAGCTCCATATCATCAGTGAAAACAAGGCCAGGGGCAGACTGTGGAACAGACCGTCAGTTGTTGTTGTTGTTATATGCCGTGGAGTCGGAACCGACTCATAGCGATCCTGTACAGGGTTTCCGAGGCTGCATATCTTTACGGGAGCAGAAAGCCTCATCTTTCTCCTACGGAGTGGCTGGCAGTTTCGAACTGCTGACCTTGAGGTTAGCAGTCCATCAATTGCTCATATGCAAATTCAGACTGAAGTTGAAGAACATGAAAACAAGTCCACAAGAGCCAAAATATGACCTTGAATATATCCCACCTGAATTCAGAGATCATCTGAAAAAAACAGATTTGATACATTAAATACTAAGGCCTGAAGACCGGAAGAGTTGTGGGATGACATCAAAAACATCATACAGGAAGAAAGCAAAAAGTCACTAAGAAGACAAGAAAGAAGGAAAAGGTCAAAATGGATGTCAGAGGAAACACTGAAACTAGCTCTCCAGCGTAGAGATGCTAAAGCAAATGGAAGAAATGAGGAGGTACAAGAGCTGAACAAAAAATTTCAAAGGTCAGTTCGAGAAGACCAAGACAAATATTACAACAAAATGTGCAAAGATCTGGAGTCAGTAAAACAAAAGGAAGAACACACACAGCATTTCTCAAGCGGGGGGAACTGAAGAAAAATTTCAAACCTCGACTTTTGTTATTGAAGGAAGCACTCATTCATACTCCCTATTGTTGTTGTTGTTGTTGTTGTTATGGGCCGTGGAGTCGGTTCCAACTCATAGCGACCCTGTACAGGGTTTCCGAGGCTGTAAATCTTTATGGGAGCAGAAAGCCTCATCTCTCTCCCATGAAACAGCTGGTAGTTTCCAACTGCCGAACTTGAGGTTAGCGGCCTGATCCGTAACCACTATAAATATGAAATTTTACCATTTCTTCTAAATTTTCACATTTATATTAAAAGTTATTCACAATATTCTCCAATTATATCTCATATCCACATTTGTTCAGTCTTCCCAAATATTCATCAGTTTTATTAATCTTTTAGCATAAAGAGGTTTTGGCTTTGTTAATTCTGTATGTTGCATCTTTGTTTACATCAATTTAAATATCAGGTTTCCAAAGGATAGTTTGTGGTGCAGGAAAATAATCATGTGGAAAACCATGGAAATATATATATATATTATATGTATATATTGCACATTCCAACTTTCATTTTTAAATAGAAAAAAAAAAAAGACTAGAAGGGTACTCATTAAATCACTGGTATTTCTTAATGGTTTTGAAGTTTTCAACATTTTCTGGTTTGTCCATAATGATCTTGGACTGCATTTATGTTCTAAAAATCTATTGACCAAAAAACCTCAGCGTGTGACCCTGCATCTTTTTAAGCCCTGTTTCAGTGACAAGACTAACAATCTAGAGGCTTACGTGAAATGGTTCAATCGGTTATGCTATCTCGTGGCGACTGAGATTTGCATGGTGAGTAGAAAGCCAGAGGGCCTGATCTTGCCAAAGGCTGTCAGGAGGTTGGGAGGAACCCAATGGGAGGGACTGAGAAGGGCGTCTTGAGCCCCAATTCACCTCCAAGCCCAGAACCAGACTGGACACCACCCCTCCGCCTTCACACTGCTGTCACTTGACTTTCCTGCCGTGACAATTGTCCTGTGGGTATAGCCTGGGATAGATTCACTAGCCTGTCACTAAGATCCCTCCACTTACTGTGTGCTGAGAGGTGACGGATCAGTAGACTCCTATCCTATGTGGTTCTGCTTCCTCCCCTTTTGCCATTTGCCTTGGGTAGCCTGGCCTAGATGGTTTCACTTAGTTCACTCAGGATTTAGAGGTAAAAATAATCCAACCTTTAAGAACTGGGAGATTGCACAAAAAGGCATTCAGATCTCTTGAAAAGCAGGAAGACCCAGCAACACTGGGTGGAGGTATGTATCACTGAGTTAAATCGGGTCTTCCTCCTTGCAACCCCCTCTTTCCATCATGTGGAAGCCAGGAGGCTGCTTGTTTCAGAAGCTTTGAGGCAGCCTGTATCCCAGTTGGCTCTCCAAAAGCAGATGCTGAGACAGAGTTTCGTGTACCAGTACTAGCTGCCATTGAATCTACTCTGACTCACAGTGAACCCATGTGTGTCAGAGTAGAACAATACTCCAGAGGATTTTGAATGGCTAATGTTTGGGAAGTAGATTAACAAACCTTTCTTCTGAGGTGCCACTGGGGAGACCCTTCCAACCACTGATTTGCAATCAAGCACACTGTAACACCCAGGGACTCCAGAGTTTGGAATGCAAGGTGCTGATAGGAATCACCAGCAGGACTGCTCAGAGGGTGCAGCTGATCTGCAATGCAGACCCAACAAGGCCCAATAGCATGCAGGAGCTCCACAGAAAATGTTGTCTGTCAGAGTGTCCACTTCAGGCCATAAAAATTGGCCCTTGTCGCTGGGATTAGGCTGATCTGTCAGACTTCATGTATCTCACTACAGCTGAGGACGACCTCTTCGTCCACCACAGCATGTTTCTTTGTGGCAATAACAACTGTCCCCTTGTTGAGTGGGCAAGCAAAATCTATTGGGATAAAAGAATGCAACTCAAGGTACCAGGTGCACAGCCCACTTCTTACATTTACTTCACGGGCCTGGAAACTGAGGTTGGGATTTCCTGTGAGGCCTGGAGTGAGTCCAGTGTCTTGAAAGCTTTCAGCCCAGCCCAGGCCCAGGAGAAGGAGAACAGTTTGGCTCTGAGTCATCAAGAGATGTGCAACTCCAAGCACCTCACTGTGATAGTCATACTGTCCTTCATCATTTGACAAAAGTTGTTGGAGGGCCTGCTCAGAGTCAGGACCCTGGGGACTCAGTAGCATGTCAGGATCAGTGGGTGGCCCTGAGGGGAGCAAGCTTGTTGCTGGGAGTAATGGAGAGGGAGCAAGACTTCCTGCTTCCTAGACATGAATGTTGGAGGAGGGAGATTTTTGGGAGCCACTGAACTAATCCTAAAGTTGCCTCTCAGCATTCCTGCTGTGTCCCAGGAGTCCTGCCAGCCCCACCCCCAGGCTCCTCCATGGCAGTGGGTTCTGTGTTGGATCTGCTATGATGTACAGGGAATACCCTGAGTCACCCCACCCCCACCCCGCATCCCTCCCTGCCTGACTGCAAACAGGAGAATTCCAGTCAGGAAATGGGCTGAGAGCAGGTGAATGAAGGCAGGTGGGAACCCCCATTGCTTCATCTCTGAGGCCCTGGCACCCTGTCCACAGCCTGCCAAGAAGAAGCAGAGAGCTCAGGTGATTGAGTTCTTCATCGACGTAGCCCGCGAGTGCTTCAACATTGGCAACTTCAACTCCCTGATGGCCATTATCTGTGAGTAGGCTGCGGGGGCCGGGGCCTCCCTTGGGGGAGGACTCCAGATGAAGGTGGAGTAGGCACAGCCAGATGGAATGGTACAAACCAAGGGTCCTCCTGTGAACAGTGGGTGATCAGGGTGGACTGTTTATAGGCCCAAGGTGACCAGAAACCCCACGTCTTCACTCCTGAGGTCATGAGAAAAGTGTCCCATTGAGGGGAGCTGGCAAGGGCTTGGCAGTGTGTCATGCCTCCAGATCCAGGGAGGATGGTAGGAGCTGGGGGCAGGTACAGAGGGATGTTGATGTGATCAATAGTTGCAGGGAGGGGTCCATTGTGATGGGGATGGAGGCTGGGAGTCTTCACACATAGAAAGCATGTCCGCCTCAATACAACATGCACCAGCACCCACTGTCCAACATGCTGAAGCCACCAGCAGACCTCAGCTTTGGTTAGGGTCAGTTTGAAGGGCTAGACCAGTGGGAGCTCCCTGACCTTGGAAATGAGGAGGATGGTCAAGACCTGAGCAGCCTTCCCAACTTGGCCCTTCTCTTCCAGCCGGTATGAACATGAGCCCTGTATCCAGGCTGAAGAAGACTTGGGCCAAAGTGAAGACAGCCAAGTTTTTTATCCTTGAGGTAAACAAAGGGGGCTGGACTGCAGGGTGCCACTGGCCATCCCTTGGACAGAGCCGCCCAATGTGTCCTGTCTCCTTCCAGCACCAGATGGACCCAACAGGGAATTTCTGCAACTACAGGACAGCCCTGCGTGGGGCTGCCCACCGTTCTCTGACTGCCCACAGCAGTCGGGAGAAGGTAGGTCAGAACTCCCGGGCTTTCTGAGTACCTGCTAGCTTCAGACTAGCTGGGTGTATCAGGGGACCTGGGCGCTGACTCAAAGCTTGTCTGTCCCCTGACTTTCTTCAGCATCTGTTGCTAGACAACCACAAAACCTTGCTTTTATAGGGAACTCATCCTCTCCCTCAAAAGGCCAGCCCACCTCAAGCAGTTCTAACTATTCAGAAGTGACTGCTTGTGTATGGCTGAAATTTGCCCCTAGAGTATTTCTTTTTGGAGGTTCTACCCAAAATAAGACCACTCCCTGTTCTGCCCACCAGTCCTTCAGAAACCTCATGCCCAACTCCTCTCTTCTCCAGAGTTAGCACCCCAGTCCTGCCCTACCTCACTTCCCTATTTGGGTCCCTTTTATCCCTGAACAGTTCCATATGTCAGAGTGTCTTGTATGTCAAGTCAAACTGTTGTTCCAAGTAAACAGGGTCTTACACTTCCCTTATTCTCAATGTAATACCTTCATTAATGTGACCACAGATCATATTAACCAAGCTAAACCAAGCTTTACTAAAACCGTCTTTTCACAAATTCATTTTCATTTGACCCTGATCAATTTTCTTTCTCCTCAAAATTTGCCTCGTGGCCTCTGATGGAAGAAACCAAGGCCAGGCCTTGGAGTTGGAATGACTCTCTGGCTAACGCCTGTCCCCAATCTGATTATGAGAGTTGCCCATCTCCATGGGGGGAAAACACTAAGGCTTACTGTGTCTTTTACATCTGATCCTTTGCAGGAACATCAGGGAAAATCAGGTCCCTGCTGGGGGGTACGGAGGTCTGTTTTCCAGCTTCAAGGTTAATAGGACGAGTTGCTGTTCTTGAAATTCTGAGTCACTGTTTCTGGAATTATGCTGGATTGATATCAGTGTGGGTTATAGGGAGCAGGCCAAAATAAGCATGCTGATCCCACCCACACCCCACAGGTTCTACAGCAGAGGGCAGGTGGGCAGACACTGACCACACTGATGTCCATATTGACTGCCCAGGCTGTGAGTGTGAAGATGCCATGCTTTAATAACCCTGGGTTCCAGAGGGCTGATGTGGGAGGGACATACTAGTGAGGCAAAATCTCACAGCCCAGGAGTCAGGAGGCTGGAACCTCATGTTACTGAGCATGCCATGGACAGGCCACATGATGTCTTAGAGTCCCAGAGGTCATCTAAATTGTTCAGTTACATTGCAAGGAGGGCACAGAATCAGGAGGCAAACACCAATCAATCTGGCTCTGAATCTCCTGATCTTTGCATGCCACCAGGCTGCCTTCCTTTTCCCTGTGGCAGTCACAGGGGTGTTTGGCATACGGCCCAGGAATTAGACTGTGGAGTGGGTTTGAGATTTAAGTCATAGCACTGACTCTCTGGACTATTTTTCTTCCACCCATGCTGAGGCAGGGTGGCAAGATGACTGGGACTTCATGCCCTGCACCCTGAGCCCCTTTAATAGCTCTGGGATGCCACGTTGTATGTTTGGATCTAGAATTTTTCTTTTGGTGAGTGACTTACCACCCCAAACCCACTGTCCTTAAGTCGATGCTGACTCATAGCCATCCTATATAGGGTTTCTGAGGCTGCATATCTTTATGGGAGCAGAAAGCATCATATTGCTTCCACACTGCAGCTGGTGGACTCGAACTATTGACCTCATGGCTTACAGTCCAGTGCTTATACTACAGAGCCACTAAGTATAGGTATGAGTGACTGATATTTAATTTGCACTGCATTCTCCTCTAACTTCCAGAGAAGGGACCATGGGTGTAACCCACCAAAAGTACATCCTAATGGATAGATAAACAGATGAAAGGATGGAAAGAAGAAAAGAGAGAGGGGATGATGGATGGATAGAAGGAAAAAGGGAAGAATGTGTGAATGTAATGATGGATGGATAGATGAACGGATGAGTGGATGGAAGAAAGGAAGGAAAGATGGAATAATGGGGCCTTGGAGACTTTCTCATACCCTCATGGTGCCTCCAGCTATAGTTAGTGAGGCTGGGAGTTCTCAATAGTCATAACATTTCATGCTTTCTTCCTTCCTATGATCGGCAACCTTTTCCCTGGTCTCTATCATGGCAGCCACTTAACATAGGCTTCTCTGGATAAGATGCAGTCTGAGTTGGGTTCAGGTCAAATTTCTCAGGTTCAGAAATCCAGGGCAGTGGATTTACAGTTATAAAGTACTCCTTTGTCTCACAGGGAAGCAGGGAGACCAGCTATGACCTCATTGCCATTGTCCATGTGTGAGTGCTCATGTGTGGAAGACCCTGTCTTGCTGAGGACCATCTGCTATGCCTCTGCCTCCAGATCCCTAAGGCGATCTGCCCTCAGTCCCCCTTCTGTCATGGTGTGTCTCTTTACCTCAACCCAGTTCAGCCATCATGTATTGACACTGGTTCTGTGTCTAATGGAGTCTCAGCACTAGTAGTGATGGTGGAGGCAGCAGACAGAGGCTCCCCTCTTCTTAGCCCAGTGAGGAAGCTGGCAGGACAGGGATCCTGAGGTCCAAGCTATCTACATCCTAACCCCGCCTCAACCATTTACTTCATATGCACTTATGCAAATTAGTTAACCTTTCTTGGTCTTAGTTTCTTCATCTGTAAAATGGGGTCATAGCATCCTGTTCCACAGGACTATGGTGCAGATGAAACATGCATATCAAGTGGAGCAATCACACCCACCACCAGTGCCTCCGTGATGCAGTATGAAGCAAAAGTGAATGACTCTTCCAGAGCGCGGACAAGGGTTAAATAAGGCCAGCCTGTTGTCAGTTGCCATTAAGTTGGCTCTGATTGTGGTGACCTTATGTACAACAGTATGAAATGCTGCCCAGTCCTGCACCATCTTTACAATCACTGGTATGTTTTTGCAGCCACTGTGTATTTTGGATTCCAACCTAGCGGGCTCGTCTTCTAACACTCTATTGGACAGCATTCAGTTGTGACCCACAAGGTTTTCATTGGCTAAGTTTTATGCCAGGCCTTTCTTCCCAATCTTAGTATGAAAGCTCTGCTGAAACCTATCCACCATGAGTAACTCTGTTGGTATTTAAAATACATGGCATAGCTCCCAACATCATAGCAACATACCAGCCAACACAGTATAACAAAATGACAAACAGGTAGTGGAGGAGCAACATAAAAGCCTAGGAAAAAGATTCCCTGGCAAGACTTCCATATTTTGTGGGTTGTTCTTATGACTATATTTTCCACCACACTGAGGTCAGGGAAATGCTGTGGCACTTGGAGCAAGGAAGACCTGATCAAATGTCTGTGGGATTGACCGAAATCTCGGGTGACCAAACCAAAACTCCAAACCCACTAAGTCAGTTCTAAGTCGCAGCAACCCTATAGGACAGAGCAGACAGTCTCATCTTTTCATCCCGTAGAACAACTGGGGGGTTTGAACTGCCAAGCTTGTGAGTAGCCATGCACATTTAAGCCACTGTACCACCAGGGCTGCCTAGAGTGACCAGCTCATCCCATTTTTTCCAGTTCTGTTCAATTCTAGCAATAGAAGTCCTATATCCCAGGAAATCCTTTCATTCTGAGGAACCCCATGACAATTAGTCACTCCACTAAATCCTGGCCCTAGAAGTTACTAGCTGAGAGGTTGGGCCAGACTGCCACTCTTTGGGTGTCAGATTACCCATTTTCCCTGCCAGCTGAGCAATCCATGCTTCTGTGCCTACATGGGTCCATGCTGCAGCCTCAAGGCTTTTGTCCACATGGAGGGGGCCTACTCTGAGCCAGAAAGGCCAGGTCTGCCTCGTTCTAAAGGAAGGATTGATGGCTGGCTCTGGCCAGACTTGGAGCCCATGCTCCTTCTCTGGAGTCTGAGGGCAGATGCAGTAAACCCAGCTGGGCTCCCTACGAGTTGTCTGTGCTGCCAGCAGCAAGGGAGTCAGGAAGAACAGTCTGCAGATTCACAGAGCAGGGAAGAAAAGCAAGACTTCTGATTGAGGGGGCACAGCATATGCATTCATAAGCCCTTTCCTTCTGGAAATGGAGCAGGGATGCTTGGAGTCTTATCATTAGTGCTTCAGGAATAGAGGTTCAGCACCAAGAAAGATATAGGAGGACAAATATTAGGTTTAAAAAAAGGGAGGCCTAGTGTGGCGCTGTAGAATAAGCACTGGACTGCTAACTGCAAGATCGGCAGTTCAAACCCACCAGCTGCTCCTTAGAAACCCTATACAGATGCCTTCTGAACTATGTCTGAGTCCAGCAGGCTAGGCCCTGCCTCAGTTCCTAGTCAGTAGCTGGAAAGTTGCCTCCAGCCCTCATTCTGCCCCTGCAGGGAGGCAAACTGGGGGCTGACCCACCTCCTCTCCCTTCCAGATCGTCATTCCCTTCTTCAGCCTGCTCATCAAAGACATCTATTTCCTGAATGAAGGCTGTGCCAACCGCCTCCCCAATGGACATGTCAACTTCGAGGTAGGACCCAGGGCCCAGGTCATCCTGTTACCCAATTAGACAGGCCCAGGAGAAGTCCCAGAGCTAGTGACTAACGGGACAAGGCAGGGTGATGCAGCTTACAGTTGACTGAGCCAACATAAGGCAGGAATGCCCAGGGCTCCCAAAACTCCGTTTTCTGGAGGAGAAGACAGAGGCTCACACGTACTGACAAACACAAGCTGACACCACTGAGAGCCGGACCTCATGCCCTGCACAGGATGATAGAGTCACTTTCAATCTGGGACCCCTGTAGATCCCCGGTGACAGGAATGCACAGGGTCAGTGTAAGGAGAAGGTGGTCAGGCAGAGGCAGAGGGGGCAAAAGAAAAAGAAAGGTCTACTCCCTCACAAACACTCTCCAATGTCAGCTCACATACCCCCACCAGGAACCCACCTTGATCTCCCAGGCAGAAGAAGGCCTACCATCAGCAGAATGAGCATCCTGGGTCCCAGCAACTGCCACTCCAACCTCCTCAGAAGCAAGACCAGGCTGATGCCACTCTGTGTCCCAACTCTTCATGTGGGCCCACCCAGCACCAGGATCTCAGAGATCCTGTAGAGAGAGAGGACTAAGCAGAGTGGGTCCCAGGCCGAGGGGCCCTGTGGGTGCTGGGCAGTGGCAGTAGGGGTCCTTGAGTCAGACAGTGCTTTCCAGAAAGCAATGATGTGCTCAGTCCGTAAAATGAAGAGCTGGCTCCATCCTAGCACTGGCCCTAGTTGATAACCAAGTGGGTGCAAGACCCTACCTTGCCTCCAAGTCTTGTTGTTGTTGTTATGTGCCGTGGAGTCAATTCTGACTCATAGCAACCCTGTACAGGGTTTCCAAGGCTATAAATCTTTATGGGAACAGAAAGCCTCATCTTTCTCCTGCGGAACAGCTAGTAGTTTTGAACTGCTGACCTTAAGGTTCACAGCCCGATTCGTAACCACTATGCTACCAGAGCTCCTTGCCTCCTACTCTTAGGGGATACTAATCCTGGGTGGGTCCCTTGCCCTGTCTGAGCTTCAATCGATCCTTCTGTGAAATGGTGCTTTAGTCATGACCTCACAGTGGGGCTAGGACGGGCCATGACTGGACGGGTGCAGACGTCTTTGCTTGCAGCAGTTCTCAGGATCCAGACTTCCCCAGATACTGGAGTTCTTGGCACAGATGCCCTTTGCTGTGGGTCTCATGTTGACACCCTGCTCAACCTCTATGTGCTGCCACAAGCCAGCTTGCCCCTGAAGGCAGTCTGGGAGGGTGTCTGATATAACAAGCAGGCAGCCTGGCCCTCTGGGACACTGGGACGAAGGTGCAAGATAAGCTGCAGTGAACATGGATGAGGCTGAAGAGGCTGGCCCAAGGGGCCTGGGATCTTGTCCACCAGTGGACCTGAAAGCCTGTCTGAATCAATCCTCAGACCCAAATCAGGTGGGAGACTCAGGGAGCAGGGCCATGGGACCAGAAACCAGGCTGGATCTGACTCCCAGGGCTGATCAAAGGTACCCCAGAACAGGGTTCCCCACTTATTCATGACTTTTGTATTGTTACTTTCTAAAAGTCCTTCTTTAAGTTGGCATACTTACTGGTTTATTTGTTTATTTAACTTAAATAAATGATCTCAAGTTTTACATAAACAAAACCTTACTTAAATATGTGTGAGGAGTCTTCAAAAAGTTTGTAAAAAAAATTGCATTATTCTTTTCATTCCATTTTCCATAAACTTTTTGAAACCTCCTCTTACTTAATACATGTGTTTAAAAGCATTTGGACAATTCTTTAAATGAAAAATACATATAATTTACCATAAATGGAGATAACTGTAAAAATCAATACAATGAAAATGCAATAATGTCCAACTTCAGCTAGATGTGGTTGCCTGCTGAAGGTGTAGCCCAAGAAGGGGAACTAGTGAGCCTTGGAGTCCTTGGGTGGTGCAAAAGTTAAATGAGTTGGATGTTCCAGGCCACCTACTGGTGCCTCAGAAGAAATGACTGGTGATCTACTTTTTTAAAAATCAGCCATGGAAACCCCTGTGGAGCACAGTTCTACTCTGACACACACTGGGTCACCATGAGTCAAAGTCAACTTCATGGTAACTGGTTGCTGGTAACGAGCCCTGGGTGTGGTCACAGTGGGTGCAGATGGGTACTTTAGTAATCAGAGGGGATAGGGTGGCTTGGAGAGGAAATGGCTTTCTCTCCTCCGCACTCTTCTGTCATCCATTGCCCCAAATTCTGCCTGACAGAGGTAGGAGGTGGGAGGAGCGCCCAGTCAGTGGTACAAGTCCAAGAAGATAGTTTCCCTTGCTGGCCTAGACCTCCATGAAATGAGGTTTTTAGGCATTCATATGGGAACTTCAGAGCTTATTCCCCCAGTTTGCCTCCATTCGATGTGTGTTACCTTGACAGAAATTTCTGGAGCTGGCCAAGCAGGTTGGAGAGTTCATCACATGGAAACAAGTAGAGTGTCCCTTTGAGCAAGACCCCAGCATCACCCACTACCTGCACACGGCCCCCATCTTCAGTGAGGACGGTAAGGTACCCCACGACCTTCCTGACCCCTGGGACCCTCAGTTTAGTCACTATAAAGTCCCCTGCTCCAAGCAAATATACAACATGCTGACCTCTGCTGGGTCCAGAAAAGAACAGGGAAGGCCGCATTACCCTGGTTGGCTGGCCACCATCCCAGTTATGCAAGACAGGGCCCAGATTTAAATAAGAGCTAGAGAGTCATCTTTCAAATTTCCTGGCATAGATGAGTGAGTGCCTCCTGTGCCACCTCACTTTCTTGAAAGTTTTCAGTTTTTATTCCATCAATTCCTGGTACCTTGTTCTTTGCCAATTCCTTCAATGCACCAGTTCTGACTCATAACAACTCTATGTAGGGTTTCTGAGGAGCAGCTGGTAAGTTTGAACCACCAACCTTGTTGTTCAAAACTGACCTTGCAGTCCAATGCTTATCCTACAGCACCACAATGTTCATGTTTCAACCAAACATGATTCATTAAATCCCAAACCAGAAAAAAAATCTCAAATTGGATGAGAAAAATTGTCAACACAGAAATTACAGAGATATTAGAGTTATTTTACATAGATTTTAAAGTTGTTGTCAAGTGCCTTGGAGTCAGTTTTGACTCATAGCAACCCTGCATAGGGTTTCTGAGGCTTTTTAAATCTTTGCAGGAGTGGAAAGCCTCATCTTTCTCTCGAGGAATGGCTAGTGGGTTCAAACCATAGGCCTTGTGGTTAATAGTCTAGATTTTAAAGTAGCATAATAAAAAAAGTTTCTGTAAGCAATTATGAGCATGTTTAAACATGAAAATAGAGAATCACAACAAAAACCAAATGGGAATTTTAGAATTGAAAGATACACTAACTGAAATAAAAAGGGGGAGTGGAGAATCGCAGTGAATGGGTTCAACAGCAGAATGACGGGGACAGAGAAAAGAATCCATAAACTGGAAAATGTTATTGTTGTTGGTAAGTGCCATTGAATTGGTTCCAACTCATAGCAACCCTGCATAGTGTTTCCGGGGCTTTAAATCTTAGTGGGAGCAGAAAGCCTTACCTTTCTCATGTGGAGCAGCTGGTGGACTCGAACTGTCGACCTTGTGGTTTGTAGTCCAGTGCTTATTGTGTGGAGCCACCATGGTCTCCGAACTGGAAGGTTGTGGTTGTTAAGTGCCACTGAGTTCGTTCCAACACATAGCCACTCTGTATAGGGTTTCTGAGGAGCAACTGATAAGTTTGAACCGTCGACCTTGCAGTTCAAACAGACCTTGTGGCCCAGTGCTTACCCTAATGGAAGACAGAACAATAGAAATGACCCAATCTCAACAACAGAAAGAAAATAGACTGAGAAGCAAAAAACAAACAGGGCCTCCAAGACCTAAGAATCTATAACAAAAAGAATTAGCATTCATGTCATTAGCATCCCAGAAGGAGAAGGAAAGAGAACAGGGTTGCAAAGGTACTTAAAAAAAAATAATAATAATGGCTGCACTTTCCAAATTTGGCATAAGACAGAAATTGCAGACTTAAGTTGCGTGAACCTCATACAGAATAAACTCAAAGAAACTCAGTAAGGTCACAAGATGCAGGATTATTATTGTTATTGTTATTGTTGTTGTTGTTAGGTGCCGTCGAGTCAGTACCAACTTACAGCGACCCTATGCACAACAGAATGAAACACTGCCTGATCTTTGGCCAATCTCACTACTGTTGCCACGCTTGAGCCCGTCGATGTTGCCACTTTGCCAATCCATCTCACTGGGGATCTTCCTCTTTTACTCTGACCCTCCATCTTACCAAACATGATATCCTTCTCCAGTGACTGGTCCCTCCTGACACATAAATTCAAAGTATGAGAGACGAAGTTTGGTCATCCTAACCTCCAAGGAGCACTCTGGTTGCCCTTCTTCCAACACAGATCTTTTGGTTCTTTTGGCAGCCCATGGCACTTTGAATATTCTCCTCCAACACCATAACTCAAAAGCATCAATTCTTCTACAGTCTTCCTTATTCACTGTCCAGCTTTCACATGCATATGGGTTATTGAAAATATCATGACTTGGGCCAGGCACACCTTAATCCTCAAGCTGACATCTTTGCTCTTCAACATTTTAAAAATTTCCTGTGCAGCAGATTTGCCTAGTGCAATACATCGTCTGATTTCATGACTGCTGCTTCCATTGGTGTTGATAGTTGATCCAAAAAGAATGAAGTCCTTGACAACTTCAATCTTTTCTCCATTGATAAGAATGTTGTTTATTGGTACAGTGGTGAGAAATTTTGTTTTCTTTATATTGAGATGTAATCCATACCAAAGGCTGTGCTCCTTGGTCTTCATCAGTAAATATTTTAAGTCTTCTTCACTTTCAGCAAGCAAGGTTGTATCTGCATATAGCAGGTTGTTAATGAGTCTTCCTCCAATCCTGATGCCTTGTTTTTCTTCATATAACCCAGCTTCTCAGATTATTTGCTCAGCATACAGGTTGAAAAAGTATGGTGAAAGAATACAACCTTGTCGCACCCCTTTCTTAATTTTAAACCATTCAGTGTTCCCATGTTCTGTTCAAACAACTGCCTCTTGGTCCATGTACAGATTCCTCATTAGCACAATTAAGTGTTCCAGAATATTCCTACTTCTCAATGTTGTCCATAGCTTGTCATGATCCACACGATCGAAAGCCTTTGCGTGGTCAATAAACAACAGGTAAACATCGTTCTAATAATATTCTCTGCTTTCAGCCAAGATCCATCGGACATCAGCAATGATATTCCTTGTTCCATGGCCTCTTCTGAATCCAGCTTGAACCTCTGGAAGTTCTCTGTCCATGTATGATTGTAGCTGTTTCTGTGTTACCTTTAGTAAAACTTTACTCGCATGGGATATCAAAGAGATTGTCCAATGATTTCTGCAATCTGTTGGGTCATCTCTCTTTGGAATGGGCACAAATATGGATCTCTTCCATTCAGCTGGCTAGATAGTTGTCTTCCAAATTTCTTGACATAGATGAGTGAGTGCCTCCATTGCTGCCTCACTTTCTTGAAAGATTTCCATTTTTATTCCATCAATTCCTGGTGCCTTGTTCTTTGCCAATTCCTTCAATGCACCTTGGGCTTCTTCTTTCAGTATCATTGGTTCTTAATCATATGCTACCTCTTGAAATGGTTGAACATCAACCATTTCCTTTTGGTACTCTGTGTATTCCTTCCATCTTCTTTTGAATCTTTCTCATTCAATAATTTGCCCAAAGAATCCCTCTATTTGGCTCCAACTCATGTTGACCTTATGTACAAAAGAATGAAACATTGCCCCATTCTGTGCCATATTTATGATCCTTGGTATGTTTGAGTCCATTATTATGGCTTTCATGTGAATCCGTTGACCCTCTACTTTAATAAACATGATATCCTTTTTTCTAGCAACTACAAGTTCAAGCTAGATTCAGAAGAGAACATAGAATGAGGGACATCATTGCTGATGTCAGATGGATCTTGGCTAAAAACAGAGTATGTTGTTGTTGTTGAGTGCCATTGTGTTAGTGACTCTATATAGTGTTTCCAAGAGGCAGCTGGTGGGTTTGAACCCCCAACCTTATGGTTAGCAGTCCAGTGCTTATTTACAGCATCATACCAGGACTCCATAAACAGAAAATACCAGATGTTTACTTGTGTTTTATTGACTTTCAACTGTGTGGATAACAACAAACTATGGATAACATTTCAAAGAATGGGTGTTCAAGAACAGTTAAATTGTGCTCATGTGGAACCTGACCAAGAGGCAGTTGATTGAATAGAAAAAGGGGGTACTGCCTGTTTTTAAATTAGGAAAGGTAACAACACCAGAGATGGAGGCAGAGATTATGATTTGGAGAAATGGAGCAGCTGGAGACTATGGACTCAAGGTGGGAGAGGGTATGTGTGCTGGTGGCCAGGGGACAGGCTTGCAGGGTATACCCTTTGGTTGTTTGAATGGTTGTATATTCTTGAGTGTTTCGGTGTATGTCCAAAAAAAAAAAAAAAACAGAGGGAATGGAAACAAATGCTGTTGAATGATGATGCATGGAAAAGATTGTAATTATTGCAATGAAACAAAATACAATAGGATGGATTTAAAGCTAATGTCTCCCATGTAAACTATCACTCAATGCACAATAAAAACTTAAAAAAAAAAAAAAATTCAGCCTTTAAGGGAGAAGTGTGGACCCAACCCAGAGAAGCAGTGATGCCAGAGATGATGTGGAGAGATGGAGCAGCTGGGGACTTTAGATCCAGAGAGGGAGAGGGACTGTGTGCTGATGACCAGGGGGCAGGTTTGCAGGGTGTACCCTTTGGTTGGTTGATGATGCATGGAGGGGATTGTAACCATAGCAATGAAATGATATACAATAGGATGAATGTAAAGCCAATGGTCTCCCATGTAAACTATCACATAATTCACAATAAAACATTAAAAAGTAAAT